CATAGCGCCTGCCCTGAGCACGTCCCACTCTTCCGGAGTTTTTCTTTCAGAACCCGTCCCCTGAAAAACTGGGGCACCTTCTGGCCCATCTGTCCGAAGCCTCAGGCCTCACTACCTTGGCTCCAAGCAGCCGCTCTTCCCCATACTACCGGTACTGACAGCCCAGTCTGGTCCCCAGGCGCTCGAATACGGTTCTCCAAAAACGACATCTGGGTTTCTTCGTGGGACGTGGACCGTCTTTGATGTGGAGTGGGGGTGTGACACCTCCCAAGCGCATCGCCGGGCCTACAGCGGTGGAAATGTCCTGTATGCCCTTTTTCTGAAATGGCCAGTTTTTCTTGTAGTCCGACAATCTCGCCGCGCTGTTCCACCAATGACGCACTCCGGTCTACACTCAAATAAGAAATAACGAAGAATACCGGACCAAAACTTCACGAGCTCCCTTCCTATATACATGCGCCTTCTATCTGTACTCGACTCCCTATTCTTCACATCGTCTCCCACTTGACATTTATCGAAGCCTACCCTCCATCAGGCTCCTAGGAGGAGAACCCTGTAGTATACCTGAAACATTTACGCGTTCATTATTCCGCGACCATGGATTTTACTCTTGCTTGTATCTTCTATCCGTACATTTGTTTTGTTGATGGTACTTGGCATTCGCAGTCGATTTCCCTGTGAGTCATGCGGTTCATCGTTTCATGCTTCGCTAATTGATTTCCATTTATTTGTAACTCCTAAAACACATGTTGGGTTCGGCAACGTTTCGCTACTGAATACTTGGTATCCGTTGTTGGTCTTACTGGTAATCGTCGCTGCCAGCAACTGAGTTCAGCTCTACACACGTTGCCTCGGCTGTAGATACCAAAGCGTCGATACTGGTGATCTTCCATATTCGAAAGTATTCGAGTATTTACCACGTAAGCGGCTTTTGTTGAAAGGCAAATCTTTCGGTGCTCGTGGCTCCTTTCTGGCTTGGTTTATCTCATTTTTAGAAGAGCGCATACAGACCGTCTTGCTAGATAATTTGCAGTCACAATCACGTGCAATAACAAGTGGAGCTCTGCAAGGCAGCCTTCTTAGTCTCACTCTGGTTCTCACTTATATTATCGACGTTTTCGAAGGAGTTAAAGATGGAATACCATCTTCTTTTGCGGACAATATGAAAATCGTCCATAAGTTTTCACCTGAACGTCTACAGATAGGTATCAAAGCTATGAAGATGCACCTGCATTCCCTCAAGCTCTAGTCACATGAATGATTAATTGGCTTTTCCGTGCACAAGTCCCGCCCCTGTCACAGATACTGCATCCCACCAGGCAGCTAAATGGGGGACCAATCGACACCACTCCGTCCATCCGCGACCCAGGAGTAAGCTATAATGACTTATTAAAGTTCTCAACTTATGCTCAAAAACAGTTATCAACAGCAGGGCGCACTTTACATGTAATCAACAACTCGATAATCGTACCCAAAGCCAAGCTTGCTTTTTATCTGATTTTACAGTACTGCCCGATTGGGTGCACAGTCTCATATGAAAGAGTTATTTACCATCACTGCGGCGTTTACAGCGGAAATTGCACTAGAGGTCTTATGAGTGAATCGTAGCTAGCACTATATCACGATAGATGTAAGCCACTGAGAATCGATCCTCTACGGCTACGAAAACTAAGGATAGCTTAGTTTTCTTTTACAAACTGATACACCATCTCAGCTTTAGCTGAAGTATCCAGTTGTAGATTAAGGAGGATGACGACTATAACTTAAGGAACAGAAAATTTATTTTTCCGCAACAAAACTTCACGTCGCTAATTCAAGCCAACTTTTCATGGTTGGATACCCCGTTGTATGGAACTGACTGCCACACTCAGTAAGAGCAAAACAATTAGTAAGTCAGTTTAAAAGTAAATTAAACCAATTTCTTCACTTACCGAATGTAACGAAATTGTTTGAAAGAAAGACAAAGATCGAGGAGCTATGTTTTCAAAGACCAGAAAGCATTTAATCAGATCACGCAACGTACTTGTCACCCAGTCATACCCATCCTTGCAATGAAAAAATAACGTTCTATTTTTTATCACGACAACACTCACTTGGCGACAGTTTTAGATGGGTGTGCGTCAGGATCAGTGGTGTCAAAATTGCGTAAACACACGTCCAATCAGGTCAATATATAAATTTTTATTGCCATTCTTTACACTTGCTCTACACTACTAACTGTTTTCCCTTTTATATTGGAGGCAACATTTTGGCCACCTGCAACAGTCCTCAGCGCCCTACAAAGTGAATTTGCGCCATCACTCTCCTTTTCGATCGCCTGCAGCTGACGGAGCGATCCCAATATTTCTTTGAGCTATCTCATCTCGTAATTATTTGTTTTCTGTGATCTTTATGTAGAGGTTGAAGCGGACAACCGTCAGACATGAGCCATTCACCTACCTTTATTATTCTTTCATTCCATTCCTATTCATTTTCTCTTTTACTATTGTCGACCACGATTGGGCCAATCTCCTGAAATGACGTATTTAAGCTTCCAAGCTCTCTATCCCGTATTTGAGTCATGTTAAGCCAAAGCGGAATCAATTTAGGCCGTAAAAATTTAGAATTGCGCCGTTACCAATTTCAAGTTGATCTATTCCACACGTACGTACATGGCCAGGTGAGAAGCGGGAGTGCGCATGAAACCTTTCGAGGGATTACCCCGCATGGAAGCAGGTCCCCAGAAGACGGTTCTATGGATGGACGTATTACTTTACTTGAAGTGTCGGCTATACCTACATTTATTCTTAATTTCAAATGCTCCATCTCTTACTTCATTAAAATTATAGTACACTCCTAACACTCCATCGGGACCACGGAAAATCTCTAACGACTTTAGACATCACTTATTTGTGTTGTACAAATGATCAGGTCATGTAATCGGTCTGTCTCAAAAAGTCGAAAAATATACCATTTAGTTATCTAGATTCCTCGATAATTATCGAAGCAACCGTGTAAGCCAAATATCACCATTCTTTTAACAACTGCGCGCATTTGTAACATGGGCGAACCTAACCCGAAGGCTTTTAGGCGTTAAGAAGTTTAGAAGATTGGATTTCACTTTTAAACGCCGGTGACAATACAATGAGGGTAGCGTATGTTGCGTGATATCGATTGGTACGTTGGTATAGATCCCACTGATGGAAAAGGGCCGCTTCGACGCTAAGTTCGTTCAATCTGGTGTATCTTCATAATGGTTTCATGGTTAGTATCCACGTGGGCTATAAGTGAATTTAAGTCATGAAAGAGGTGCAGGGTCTGGTCTACGATTTCTGACCAGCTGGAGGGGGTGCACAGATGACCAGGGTGTATTCTCACTACGGCCACATGTCTAAAGTGCTTCGCACCTTCGGCTGACACACTGTATACCATGGCTAACATGAAACACTTGGATTGCTATTCTAAGCGAACGTCAAATTAACATCATTCAGTGGCCTCCATCAGTTGACAGAACAGATCTTAATCAGTCAATAGGGCGTAGATGTTCTTGCGTAACGTATCTGGGTCTCATATCAGCCCAGTGGCTACAGCTAGAAAAGTAGGAAACATTAGATGAGGCGATGTGTTTAGGGTATCGGAGCGGTACCTACACATCGGAGGCAATGAAGGTAAAATCTCATGATAACAGACTGGGATCACCGTAGTCCCAAAGAAGAACACGTTGGTCAGAGACCCAACTGATGTGGGATCGTTCTCCGGTCTGTTGGCGTAAGTGGTTTGATGCGCCTGTAACAGATCCTCCTGTTTTCTACAACTGCCAGGGTAGGTGCAAGAACCAAGAGCGTGAGTTCGAAACATCTTATCCTACGGTTATCATGGGCGTCCTGTGGTTGTCCTACGGAGGCCGCAGTGACAGGTAAATCCGGAACCGGATGCCACCAAGCATAGTTGTGCTAGCACACGGTCCCCCTACTGTCGCTCTCGTTGGGGAACGGATCCTTACGGGTGCTGTTCACATGGTGCAGTGGACTCCGAATCCCAAGCTAGCGGCTGTTTAGGTTGGAGTTGGCGATAGTGACAGGAGTTGTGCGAATGACCAAGCTAAACATTATGGCGGTTTGATGAATAGAAATGCAACGGTTTTGGCGCGCATGAGACGATAAGACAGTTGTGGATGTAATTACACTTATGTTTCATAATCAATAGATAAAATTTCATTGGTATTTCCTTTTCGATTCGAAGATTGATTGAATAATTGAATGTCGCTGAGACGGAGTTGGTTTCGGCATGTAACGTTTGTTCTATTCTAGCCTCAAGGTCTGGAAAACCCGGTGGACCTGAGACCTTCCTGATATGCCACTACTACACGGATTACGTGTCGGGTGCCACCATGTGACTTTCACCCGAACTCAATCGGACAGTTTGATGTGCTCCCGTTT